GTAGTGTGTGTAGTGGTGTGTTGTGTTGGTGGTGGTAGTGTTGGTGTTGGTGGTGGTAGTGTTGTGTTGGTGGTAGTGTTGTGTTGGTGGTGGTAGTGTTGTGTTGATGGTGGTAGTGCTGTGGTAGTGTGCTGTGTTGGTGTGGTAGTGCTGTGTTGGTGGTGGTAGTGTTGTGTTGGTGGTGGTAGTGTTGTGTTGTGTGGTGCGTGGTGTGTGTGGTGGTAGTGTTGATGGTGGTAGTGTTGGTGTTGTTGGTAGTGTTGTGTTGGTGGTGGTAGTGTTGTGTTGGTGGTGGTAGTGTTGTGTTGTTAGTGGTAGTGTTGTGTTGGTGGTGGCAGTGTTGTGTTGCTGGTAGTGTTGTGTTGTTGGTTGTGTGTGTGCAGTGCTGTGTTGTGGTGGTAGTGTGTGTTGTGGTAGTGCTGTGTTGGTGGTGGTAGTGTTGTGTTGGTGGTGGTAGTGTTGCTGGTTGGTGGTAGTGTTGTGTGGTGGTAGTGTTGTGTTGTGGTGTAGTGGTGTTGGTGGTGGTGTGGTGTGATTGTGTTGTGTTGTTGGTGGTAGTGTTGTGTTGGTGGTGGCAGTGTTGTTGTTGTGGTGTGTTGGTGGTAGTGTTGTGTTGGTGGTAGTGTTGTGTTGTTGGTAGTGTTGTGTTGGTGGTGGTGTTGTGTTGCTGGTGGTAGTGTTGTGTTGGTGGTGGTGTTGTGTTGGTGGTGCGTGGTGTTGTGTTGTTGTGTGTTGTGTTGATGGTGGTAGTGTTGTGTTGCTGGTGGTAGTGTTTGTGGTAGTGTGTGTAGTGTTGTGTTGTGTTGTGGGTGGTAGTGTTGTGTTGTTGGTGGTAGCGTTGTGTTGCTGGTGGTAGTGTTGTGTTGCTGGTGGTAGTGTTGTGTTGCTGGTGGTAGTGTTGTGTTGTTGGTGGTAGTGTTGTGTTGATGGTGGTAGTGTTGTGTTGCTGGTGTTGTGTTGCTGGTGGTAGTGTTGTGTTGCTGGTGGTAGTGGTGGAATATGGAGGAGTCGGAGGAAGAGGGTTCTGTCAGGTCAACAGAAGCCACAGTAATATCTTATGGTCAACTCTGTTTACAAGAACACCGCCTTATGCTATACAGAGTAAATAACTTGGAAAATGGGCGAGGAACTGGAAGTGTGGGGATACACACACACACACACACACACACACACACACACACACACACACACACACACACACACACACCTACTTCTACTATTACTAGCACTACTTTACTGTCACTCGTAATCGAGTATGACTACCATTAAGCAATGACAGAATGATAATAGTGATTAGTGATGTCACCTTCGTCGATGAGCTTTGAGGGGACTCGAGAGGCTGATACGGGACCGACAGGGCCGTCCATACATAGTGCTGGAGGGGCGGCGGCAGCGTCTTTCAGGCGCTGGCACTTGTCTGCCTCGGTATACAGTCGGGCTAACTCTAAAGTATTGACACTTTCTCTTGTGGTGCTCCTCCAAGCGTTACGGTGTGGAGTGATTGTCTCCCAGGTGAGGGGGTCGATTTGGCACCTTTTCAGGTTTGTCTTAAGATTATCCTATACCTTTTCCGTTGCCCGCCAGCGTTACGTTTACTATTCGTTAGGTGACTGTAAAGTAGCTGCTTTGGCAGTCTACTGTCGTCCATGCGGATAACATAGCCGGTTCAAAGTAGCTGTTCATGGATAATGGTAGCCTTGATACTCCTACAGATGATGTCAGCGAGAATACTGGCATTTGTTCTCTTGTCTTCCCAGCGAACTCGGAGGATGGAACGTAGACTACTACGTTGGTGAAAATTTTCAAGTGCCTTGAGGTGCCTCCTGTATGTGACCCATGTCTAGCTGCCATATAGCAGGGTGGGGAGGACCACTGCTAGATATACGTGCAGATTTGTAGATAATTTCAGCTCCATATAGATGAAGACAAGGGTATGGAGTCTGGCAAAGGCTTGAGACGCACATATGATATGATGGTGGAACCTTTTATTGATGTCCTCGGTGGTGGGAGCCGAGGTACTGTACTGGAGGTGGGTAACATGAGAGAGAGTAGCACCGTTTACCAGGATGGATGATGGAGGCGTGGTTGAACCAGGGGCAGGTTGGAACAGAATTTTTGTCTTACTGTATGTACAGTATCTCAAAAACGTTTCTGCCAGGATGGGTCCATTGCTACATACAACCCGGGAGGGTTGGTATGCGTGGCTCTGCCGCATACTGAACCTACTATACTGTGTATTTGGTAACGGAAAATCAAATTAATTACGCCGAAATAAAATAATCCACATTGCAATATTAATGTTAAACTATATACCATAGTAAATACATGTCCCAATATCTGTCATCCGTGGTCTCATAATGTTTCACACAGTGTGGACAGATGGTTTTTTGAGATACTGTAAAGTCAACAAAAACCAACTTTGCAGGTTTACGGTATTATACAATATGACACACCGGATTAAAAATTCAGAACAACATTCATGAGTTATGGCGTCTGTTTGTAACACTTAATTTCTCTGTATTAACAATACGTGACATACAGAATACATTGTAATCAGAAGAACCAACCTCACAAAATGAACATGGCCTCAGTCAGTGATCGTTCCGAAGGCCGTCAGGCCCAGTGTACAGAAATTGCTTTTTGTTGACTGTACGTTTACTTTAAGGCCGAAGTGTGCGTATGCATCTGCATGGGTATTCAGGGTCTCCTGTAGGTCGCGTTCAGTGTGAGCGATGAGGAAGAGGTCGTCTGCTTACTGAAGTTCAGTGATGGAAGCTGCCTTTATCCGGTACTGGATGTCCACTCCGACGGCTGAATTGGCACTGACACGAGTAAGGAAGGCAGCCAAGAAAATGGAAAAGAGTTGGTGCCAGTACACATCCTTGTTTTACCCTCGTTTGGATAGGGAAGAATTCAGACTCAGTGTAGATGGTCTGTGTGATGTTATCATCAGTCTACAAGTTATGTATGTGGTCAAGAGCTCTCACTTTGGCAGTGCTGGAGATAAGGATTATGTGTGGTCAGTCGCTTAGGCGGGTACGAGGGTGTTGTGATGTCGAAGGGAACTGTCCGCCAGGGTGGCAGGAAGCGCTGCTGTGTCTCAGCTTTGTACAGACTGATGGTCTCGTTCAAACATCCTCAAATGTTTAGCTGTAGTTTGGATCCATTTAAATTCACCAGTTTCATGACTCATAATTCTAGCAGTTTCACGGACACAATGTTATCTGGATCACCACGCAAAAGCCTCAGGGCTATCATGAGGTTGACTTCAAAATTATTCTATCTTTGACACTGGGTATACCTACAGTAGTTCTTTCCTCATATTAAATACTTTAGTGCTTTTGCACATTTTTCGAGCTCGTCACGAAGGAGCAGGGCTGGTGCGTGGTATTCTAGCGGAGATCGTACATAGCCTAGAACTAGGTACATTATTTTGACAATTCTGATATTAGCGCCATGATGTGGGTTGTACCCCGCTACACACCACCCGCCACCCACCCTCACTATCACACACAACTCATGTTCACTTATCTCACTTCAGCCTTGTTTTATTATCGTAGAGAGAATTTTCGTCGAGTTTATTTTTTTTAGTTAAATAAATCATTAATATACAGTAAATACAGAGAGAGAGAGAGAGAGAGAGAGAGAGAGAGAGAGAGAGAGATGAATACACACAGGATATGAGAATATTTCCAACTCATGAACATTAGTTTTCCACTCTTGTAACATTAAAATGATAAATGGATTATTGACAAAAGATTTCAAGCGATGAGAATGTTAAGTTGGTATGTATTGGGATGAGCTCACCAGCCCAGGATCTTAATATAGTGACAAAAGACTGTAGACTTTATTACCAAGGAACTTATAGAAAAACGTAAAACAAAACAATGAGGAACATATATAACAAGGCTTCAGTGGGCTTGTTTCCTTCTTCTTACTCCAGTACTGATCTAATGTGAACCGTTCTAAAGATTATACTAAATTAATGTCAGTATAGTATATCCTGAGTCACCGGTGGACCCTGGGAGGTAAAGGGGAATCTCACGCCCATCTTGTTTGTTCACACCATAACGATGATCTTTCATTCTCCATCCACTTCACTTACAAGTATTAACATCTACTACTTCACCAAATGATTGAAAACAGACGCGTCAAAAGCTCACAAGATGTTCACAAAGACGCCATGTAGAATAATAGATTTTATACATGTTGAAAAATAAGATCTAGAAGTTTTTAAGTATAAGCGATGTGTAGAGACTGTACTCCCCCCCCCCCTCCTTCCCCGCACTCTAATGGGTTTCACATTTGCTGTCAGAATAATGCCACAAACACACGTGAATTTAAGTGTTTTTGTGTTTACTTGTACCAGGAGTTCGTATTAACTGACACAATGTACAGTCGTTTACGGCATTACAGTGATTGTACAACGAAGGTCATTGTAAACTAATGCTGTAAAATATTAACATGATATATCAAGACCGAAGAATTACATGATATATCCCTAAATATTATATGAAACATATATATTTTAAATTACTCAACACAAGTGCCGGCCGTCACTGTCAGATTAGAAAACACGTGTAAACTAAAATATTTATTTTATTTTTATGGTAATATTATCTGAGAATTGCCTCCTACCTCTCTAGTTCACTGTCGACGTCACAAAACTTTTGCTTAATGAAGTTTATAAATCTGCTCTAAATTAAACAACAAAGTAAAACTCATATTACTCCTCCATGATAATGGCAGGTGAAAATATTAGACAAAGCAAATGTTGTCTACTTATCATTAAAGTGTTCACCTTCCCTGGATCTACAGCCAGGTGAGGCTCCACCCACCTGACCAAGTTTTACGCTCGCTTGCATAACATATCTTGAAAACCTTCAAGGTGGATTATACAGACAGGAGCCATTTCTGGCTCGGTAATTCCATAATCTAATATTCTACCCAACGTTGAGTATAAAAGAGAGCACAACACATCTTCCCACACTTACAAAGGAGCTTCATCCGACTTCTGAGCTGTTAGGAGTCCAGGACAGAAGTTAACCTATCGAGACGACCATGGCGAACACTACAGGTCCCCAGGTGGCATTTTACAGGTAAAGTTCCTCGTTACTGATAATATTATCTTAAAAACTTGTCATGAGCCGTCAAGTAGTAAAGTTATACTTCACGACTACTTTGTTGTTACCGAAATGGTGAATAACATAAATACACTACGCTAGGAGCAAACTACGAGGCTCACAGACTGCATCAAATATCGACTAATTTAACCTGGCGGCCTCACACCATGGCAGTGTCGATTGACTGACAGGTTGTCTAAGTGTGTTATTAATGGACTTTTGTTAATCTTTACAAGTAAACCTTGGGAACATCTGGAGAGTTACAGTGTAAGATGATTAATTAATTCACTTATTACTCGTATTTTACTATTGTTCAGAGAACAAACAAGTCGCGACATAACTATATCGGTATTCTCATGTTTTCTATAAGTGTACAAACTATAGAGACGAAAAAATTAAGAATAGTGAAGTTTCCAATTTATTCCAAGTGATAATAAACTTCCACCTACAACTTGTAACATATTAGTGATATTCTAAATGTGTTCCTCCCTCGCCCCCCAGCCAAGATGAGCCCAGCTTCGGCTATCCCGCTGGGATGACGGTGGTGGATTTTGTACCTGAGACCATCAAGCATATGGTGCACCAACACTGGTACCAGTTCCCCCCCGTCAACCCCATGTGGCATTACCTCCTGGGTATCATCTACATCTTCCTTGGCTTTTTCTCCACCGTTGGGAACGGCCTCGTTATCTACCTGTACATGAAATGCAAGGTAAGACTCAGCGGAACTCATAAGTAAAACGGTCTTACTTGACCCACGACCATCTTGTCATAACAATAAACACTCCATTCAGTGATAAATACGATTATTATAGTTCACGTAAAAAAGATCATCAGTAGACACCAAAACTTGGGACAAAACTGATGCAGAATATTGTTGCAGGCTCTCAAGACCCCGGCTAACATGTTGGTTGTTAACTTGGCGCTGTCCGACCTCATCATGTTGACCACTAACTTCCCCCCTTTCGCCTACAACTGCTTCAGCGGCGGAAGATGGATGTTCAGTTCATTCTTCTGCGAAATATACGCTGCTCTGGGTGAGCTCTGGTGGCTTTACTTCTTAACGTCACTGAGAGCTTTGGATAGGCCTCATTTGCATTTCACAAAACAAAAACTTCCTTCCAGAATTCTTCTCTCCTTGTTGATAGGAATTTTTAAGTTTCACTTTACATAATGAGGCTATGGGTGGAATGTCATTATGTGTGAAATAATTAAACATTTGATAATTTATGAAAGTGCTAAGTGTTTCCACTCTACATTTACCGCCGGTGTCCCCTAAAAATATTAAAACTGTTTCCTTGTACTGGCAGGCGCCGTGACAGGTGTGTGTAGCATCTGGACCCTGGCCATGATCTCCTGGGACAGGTACAACATCATTTGCAACGGTTTCAATGGCCCCAAGATGACTCAGGGTAAGGCCATGACCATGTGTCTCTTCTGCTGGGCCATGGCCATTGGCTGGGCTCTACCCCCTTTCTTTGGCTGGGGAAAGTACATCCCTGAGGGCATCCTCGACTCCTGCAGCTACGACTACCTTTCACAGGACTTTAGTGTGAGTTGAAGCAACATTCATAATTTTGTGTCATTATTAATTTGACTACAAAAACGGATGGTACTTAAGATGAAATATAAATTAGACTAACGTTAATTATCCCAAACTGTTATTGACTCCATAACAGACGAGGAGCTACAACCTTTGCATCATCTTCTTCGACTTCTGCCTCCCCTGTGCCCTCATCATTGGCTCTTACGTCTTCATCGTGAAGGCCATCTGCGCCCACGAAGCCGCTATGCGTGCTCAGGCCAAGAAGATGAACGTCACTAACCTCCGTTCTAACGTAAGACTTCACTCTAAGTAAAAATTTCACATTTTATCATCACAGTTTTGCTGCGATACATGAATAAGTCACATATCTTTATAAGTTAATAATGCCAAATAATCTCCCGACAGGAAGCTGAGAGTCAGCGTGCCGAGATCCGTATTGCCAAGACAGCCATCGCCAACGTTTCACTATGGCTGGTGTGCTGGACTCCCTACGCCATCATCACCATCCAGGTTTGTGTTAATATGTCTAAAAAATATGGTAATACCTAATATTTGCTGGAGTAGCTTCTTCTGCCCAAATATTTCGCGAGTCAAAAGGAATCTTGTAGGGGCAGGATTAAAATATTGATTTAATCTCATTTTCATCGTCAACAACATTAATTCTTTTTAACATGTTCCCTCCCTTCTTCTGTTACAGGGAGTATCTGGCAACTACGAGAACATCACTCCACTGGTGACAATGTTGCCCGCTCTGCTGGCCAAGTCCGCCTCTTGCTACAACCCCTTCGTCTACGCCATCAGCCACCCCAAGTTCCGTCTGGTGAGCAGGACGGGGGTGTTTGTTTGATCGTACACTGATTAGTAGTGAGGAAAAGTTGTCTATCAAAATTCTCTTCAGTTTTCCCATATTTTTACAGTTTGTTCATTTCACTTGTTCTAAAATTAATTTTGTGTATTGTTGTCACTGCAGGCCATCACTGAGTACCTTCCCTGGTTCTGCGTGCATGAGGTTGAGCGCAAGACTACTGACGACAACCAGTCCAACGCCACCGCCGCCGAAAAATCATAAATCATAAGACATAGTAAGTACCAGCGTTACTTTTATTGTATACAGAAAAATACTTCGTCACAAATATAGATGAGTAGTGAAATTTGTTCCACCCACATGGGAGCTCAGTAATATTTGGTGCATCCATTTCTTTATTTAAATTTGAATACGCAGTATAATAGGGGAAGTGTAATGGGCAGAGTAATTCTACCTTCCACAGGACCCCGCCAGCGCAGGGGAGATGCAGAGTGGACGTGGGTGCAGTTCTGCCACAGACAAGAAAGCGACCATGATCGTCAATGGATAATTCTTCTCATCTTTGTTCGTGTTTACTTGTACAGTATATTAACATCTGAGGCCTCACTAGAATATCAGTAAACATATTTGCAATGAAAACCTCTGTTTTTATCCTTATAAATTGACATTTTCACAATATACATTTGTTTATTCTCGTAAATACAGCATATCTTTATGGCTGAGGCGTTGACCTATGTTGGAAGGGCCAACTGTGACGGTCAGGAATTTATTGACTGTTTTCTTGGTTTTGAAGTCGGCAAATAACCCAATCAATGACATTAAAAGTTAAGAAGTTCTTGTAACTTGTTTCCAAGGCTTGATTAATTCCACATCGTTTGTTTCTAGGTTAAACCAGAATAATGTTTAAATAGAAGAAGTACCAATAAATCGCAGAGAAATTTCAGGTAACATTTTGTATAAAATTATATTAAAAAAAATAATATGGAAGGAAGTTACACCAACGAAAACGAACACTGCTTTTAACAAAACATAAATCCCTACAGCAAAATTAACTCATGAAACACAATTGAAATACAACCTAACTGCCAAAAATAATATAGAGATTACCAAATGAATTTACAGCTCTTACAGCTGTCAGTAACCAACAGAGTTGAAAAAAGTGACAAAAGATAAGTTCCCATTATGAGGCCACATTCAGGATGGACTGTCAAACGGCAGTTATTTCAGGCGGGAGTGAGCTACAGGGTGGATTCCCGCCACCAGGGATTTGTACTGTATGAGAACAGGTGGAAAGATACACTCGCCAACAAAAGTCCTGCCTCTTCATGATCCTAGAAATTCAGAAACCTCAAAGTTCTCTGAATCTCTGTACTTTTATCGCTTTACCTCCTTTATTGCTTGTATCTGATCGTAAACAGGGCAATTTCACTGTCTCACGCCCATTCATTCAGCCCTTACTAAGGTGCTGCGTTGCCACATCTCATACCCGAGGATTCACACACTCTCAAACTGTGGTACGTTCATGTGGAGGCATCTGCATACACACACACACACACCTATATGATTATTCACACTTAACTTACAGGAACAACTAAGAGAGAACCATTGATCTTAAGGAATGTTGTCCAATATATCAAGACCACAACAGTAGTATTATATATATTAGTAGTTACCTTGTACTGGTGGTAGATGAAGCCCTAGCACCATACAGTCACCTGGTGGCACCGTCTTCACACTTTTATGACACTTCATGGAACTTGACAACACACTTTACATCTTGTATTATTTCACGACACTTTGCAACACTTTACGGCTTTAATGACACTTTCCCATTCTTTGCGAGACCTTTATTGGCACTTTACGACACATTGAGAGACGTCACCTTATTGCACTTTTCGACACCGTATGACACTATTATATGTTGCTTGGATACTATTACTATTCGAGACTTTATGACACAATGGAACTATATGCCTTCTTTTGTCACTGGGCCACTGACACTTTAGGACACTTTGACACCTTTGTACACTTCATGGCACCTCTGACACTCCATAGCACTTTTCATTGTACACCACATCATACGACATTATACGTTATTTATTAGACTTAATGGCACTTTATCAGACCTACTGGCACTTAAAATCACTTTATAAAGCTTTTGGTTATTGCATGGATCTCTGTGGCACTTTATGGCACTCTAACACCTTATCCCACTTTATAAATGTATGGAAGTCTTAGGTGCCCACAATTACTTTGAGACATTTATACGTCTTCATGCCACAAACACTTCACATCACTTATAAAACTTCATAACGCAAACACTTCACAACACTTATAAACAATTTACGGTACTTAAAAAGCTCTTTCTGAAACTTAAGTTCACTTTGAGACACTTATAACTACTTTACGACACTTATAAACACTTCATGACATTTACAAACACCTTACTACATTGACGAACACTTTACGATATTTTACAAACCTCGTTAATTTCAGTCTCTTCACCGGCTATTTGTTTGTCTATAAGCCTTCGTGTACATCCTCACCAGCATAAGGCAGAGACAGCACTGTGTTGGCTTGTCTCGTTGGAGGCCTTTGTTGACATACTCATAAATTCGAATCCGAGAGATGAAGCAGATTTCAAGACTAGAGCGAACCGACCAAACCTTCTTGTCCTAGCGCTGAAACGGACTGAGTTTGGTCGTGTTTTTCTCATTCGTTTTTCCATATTAGTAACTTTGGAGATCTTTGGCTTTATCTGTTCTTATTATAGAGTGTTATAATGTTTTATACAAAATTATATGCTTGTATTTTAGTTCGTATAATGGCTCATTTTCGGATGATCGAGTCTGATGTAACGAAACAGATAAGAGCTGTTCCTGAACCCTGAAAACAATTGCGTCATGGATGTGTCAAAGTGGAGAGAGTTAACTGGTGACAAAAAGTTTATAGTGTTTATTCCGCTTTATTTGATTATTAAAACAAACAGAAATAAGACAAAACTATTAAACATAAAAAAAAAACAGAGAACACATTTTAAATTTTCTTATTCCAAAAGTCAACGCTTATGGAGACGTGTGTTGTCTGAGGGTGAGCAACCCCAGGTCAGGGTAAACCAGAGCTACCAACACATCTGTCTGGTATATTGTGTGGTTTAATATTTTAGACAGACTACAATTAAACCAAATAGTCCACGGGCCAGACCAGATACCGGTACTACCCAAAGCGGCAAAAGGTCAACGGTGGAAATGTATTTATCCCATAACAATAAGAAAACACCCATGTGATAGCCTGTCCACATGAGTAGGTTAATGTCTTTTCCTGCAGGTTCCATTTTTTTTATCTTAATGGTGATTACCCCTGTAGGTGATATGGTCATTATTATCATATTCTCTATTTATTTATCGAAACAGATGCACTGAAACCCGCATGAATATCTTCTCAATACAGTGTAGCCAAGTTGTGTGCCTAATAAATAAGCTTGTATTTATTTATGAGTGGAGCATAATTCCTGTGTTTTTATCTTTGTATTAACGTACTCTGTATTAGTGTGTGGAGCGTTAATTACTGGTTATATTTTGCTGGTAGAACTGACTGAAGATAAACACTGAGGACGAATATGTGGAAGCCAAAATGGATGACACTACCGCCTACCGGAGAAGGCTGTCGTGAAGTGTGGTTGTACAGACCCCCCAAAAAAGTCCTGTCGCGAACCATGAACCCCGAGATTCAGACTCGTGAACCCGAAGCAGTAGACACTGATACATTATTCTGTCCATAAATGCTTCGGATTCAAGAGTCTGAATCTCGGGGTTCATGGTTCGCGACAGGACTTTTTTGGGTGACACCAAAGGATGTAAAGGAGAGTGCTGCTGCTTGAAGTCTGAGTTACCTTGTACTGAACTCTGTAAGTGTCGTTGTTGTGCATGAAGTGAGTAAATGAATTAAATTTCCTGAACCAACACATTATTATTCCTTTATCTGATATTTTTAACTTGTCTTTTTCTCTTGATGCATAATGTATATCATACGATTTTGTATATACTATATGGCTATTAATTTATATTTATTTTGCTCTTAGACATTTTAAAACTATGATCAAACATATATCAGTATGATTTTTTGTGAAACCATGTGATATTATTTTGTTCTATTATGTCATTGATATTATACTATAGCTCTTGTGTTAATACATACCGTCCTGCCTTTATATGTGTAGCATCTTCGTGGTGTAGATCAATATAGTATTTTTCTCTGACGACTGCAGTACACCTCACCGAATAGGAACTACTTTATACTGTACATACAGTGTATGCTGCAGTCACTGTGTTATTACATCATCCTTACTTCAATAAAATTAATAAAAAACAGACTGAATGCTGCAAGGTTTATTGTTGACTACAGTGAAGACTCGACATAGGAGAAATAAAATATGACCCGAGACGAAGATGGCGCTGTGTTCCTCTCCATTCTCACCAGACTTATGACAACGCATCAGACTGACTAAATAATAATAATAATAATAATAACAATAATAATAATAAAGTACTCTGAAGAGAAATATCCATATGTTTAAGAAATATTCAGAGTAGAGATTGGAAAATAACTAGCTCTAAGGTCGGTAGCTCATGCAAATAATTATGCAACATCCCGTCATTGAGAGCTGAAGGGTTGTAATAGTGAGATATGGTCTGTTCACCCGCTGAGAGGGGAGCGAGCGAACATCAAACGGCGTCGCTTCACCCCGCCAGCCAGCTTTGATTTGTATGTGAGAAATGTGTAGGACTAAACCACACATATTTTCTGTAGTTTTGTCTTATTTTAAGATATAAGTTTCATGGTCTTTTGGCAAATATTTTATGCATTGTAATACTACTAATGTTATGGTAAACTGTATGAGATTATATTGACAACATTTTCAACTCCACCCGCTAAAATCAGTGTGTGAAGGAAATCATGTCTAATTGTTTTATATGACTCTCTCTCTCTCCATCACCACATATACCACATGACAATTTATAATATAACAGCTGATGATGTCACTGAAGCTTACCTTGTGATGCTGGCATGTATTGCATCATCCCTAAGTTTTCTGATTCTGAGGTGTCGGTAGGTCAAGTACCTCATACTTGAAGAGTCCATTAAAGTCACTTAACTCAAAATGAACATTGCATATCCAGGTATTACCGCAATTAAACAGATCTCTTGCAGAGACGAATCCACTTTTTAAGTTTCTGACTTTTGGGAAAACGATGAAACGTGATGTCTCCTTGCTGTCCGTGTCGTGAAAAACAACCGAACACTGCACACTTGTTAGGCATGTTTAAACAGCTCATTCGAGAAAAAATCTTTGGTTGGCCTTAGATTATGTTCTAGTGTGGCCTTAGATTATGTACTTGTGTGGCCTTAAATTATGTTCCAGTGTGGCCTTAGATTATGTTCTAATGTGGCCTTAGATTATGTTCCAGTGTGGCCTTAGATTATGTTCCAGTGTGGCCTTAGATTATGTTCCAGTGTGGCCTTAGATTATGTTCGTGTGGCCTTAGATTATGTTCTAATGTGGCCTTAGATTATGTTCCAGTGTGGCCTTAGATTATGTTCCAGTGTGGCCTTAGATTATGTTCCAGTGTGGCCTTAGATTATGTTCCAGTGTGGCCTTAGATTATGTTTGGCCTTAGATTATCGTGTGGCCTTAGATTATGTTCTAATGTGGCCTTAGATTATGTTCCAGTGTGGCCTTAGATTATGTTCCAGTGTGGCCTTAGATTATGTTCCAGTGTGGCCTTAGATTATGTTCCAATGTGGCCTTAGATTATGTTCGTGTGGCCTTAGATTATGTTCTAGTGTGGCCTTAGATTATGTTCTAGTGTGGCCTTAGAATATTTTTTAGTGTGTGGCTTCAATAAAATCCAAATCAAGAGGCATGAGAAGGAGGAGAAAGGCTGGGAAGGTTCTGTACTGCATATGATAAAATTTGTTGTTCCATTTAAGACGCCATTTACAGCTAACTTACAGTGTTCGTTTGGCAGGTCAGCATGAGTTAATCCTAAGCTTTTTCGTCGTTAGCTGTGGTGTTGCTGGTAACTGACTTGGAATCATCGTTCTTGGGCTGAGTCTCGTGCACACAGAACCAGGGCAAGTGAACTGTGAGAGCCTGTATAGGGAGGAGCCATCCAGTGTTACATCAGGGTCTTACAAGAGTGGCTAAGTGTCATTATAGATTCGTTAAATAATAGTAAGACACATGCTGTGCTGCGGAGAGGAATAATAATAACAGTACTCTGTATTACTTAGGATTTCCTCACCTGACGAAACTTGGGGTGGCTGATGGCGTAGACGAAGGGGTTGTAGCAGGAGGCGGACTTAGCCAACAGAGCGGGCAACATTGTCACCAGGGGAGTGATGTTCTCGTGGTGACCAAGCACACCCTGCGTCAACATCACTCGGTTATTGTGTAGTGTTCTTGAGTGTGAGAATGCTAGACACAGCCAAATGTTAAGCAATATAACAGGATATTAAGATACTAGACATCAGAGGGCAATTCACATTAATAAATAAATTATCAGTATCATCACATAAGATTTTGAGTTAAAAGTAATAACAAGATCAGTAAGTCAAATTAACCTGAATGGTGATGGCTGCGTAAGGCGTCCAGCAGGTCAGCCAGAGAGAAACATTGGCGATGGCTGTCTTGGCAATGCGGATCTCGGCGCGCTGGTTGTCTGCTTCCTGTTGAGGGCGAGTAGGAGAGTCATTGAGGACGACACGGGTAACACTGTATCGTGTATATCTACTAACATATAATAAGAGTTTCTTTATGTATTCATCTATTCAGCCAGAGAAAAATTAACTTAGGAAAAGAGTTACGTTAGAGCGAAGATTGGACACGTTCATCTTCTTGGCTTGGGCCCGCATACCGGCCTCGTGAGCACAGATGGCCTTCACGATGAACACGTATGAACATATGATGATTGACGCCGGCAAGAAGAAGTCGAAGATGAAGATGGCAATGTTGTAACTCTTGGTCTGTTAAGTAGTCAGTAAAATACACAATTATTACTCGTCACTACCAATAGCGAGGCTGTGGAGTAAATCATCAGTTTACAGCTGTGAGAAGGATGATCAGAATATGACAGAACGTGGCCTGTAGCTTTAGAATATGTGGCGCAGTGGTCGGCAGAAACATTACAGACTAATTCGCCAGCTCGTGTTTGGCTGCACTGTACTGTACCGAGAAACTTGTTGCATCTGGCGTGTGTGGTGCTTTGATTAGCTGAACGTGGTCACATGGAAACCTTCTCACTCGGGGAAGAAGAAATTTAGAGCATTTTTTGTGAGTTCTGGTTATGGCGGCGAGCAAAATGCATGGTTAATTTGTGTAAGTTTGCAGGAAGAATCACGAATATAACAGCTTGGTGGATTTAGCTTGGCTAGACTTACATTAAAGACGTCTTTAACGTAAGTCTAGCCAAGCATGGCTTCACTGCACGCGTCGAGGAATGCATCAAAATAGAATTCCACGTGAGTAGGTGGCTTTTGGCTTAGCATTTCATTCATAATAGTGTTTGATGATATGTTGATCGATGTGTTGTGATGTCGTAAAGTGTCTACGACCTGTAAGTCGAAGGTACTAATCCGGGAGCACAAGACTGAGTACATTGTGTGATATGCACAAGGAAATGCATGCATTTACCTTCTTGTCACAAGCGACGAAGCATGAAACAGAAACATAAAGTTTAGAAAAACTGTCTATAGGGGGAAGGGAATGACAATCGTTTTCTAGGACTCTGAAATTGAACACTTCTTCAACGTGGATCATATGGCATCTCAGCCTGTGTAAAGTGAAGCGACAGAGAAACTGTGTGTAACCATCTGAAGGAAACGTCCATTACTTCTCACCAAGAGCATCATCTGTCGTTGCGCGGTAACCTGTGATCTCATACCGACTGACAGTGCAGAGTTTGTGGTTGAAACGAAGTTCGTGAGTGTGTACACAAGACCCAGGGTTCTGTGAAGCTGACACTGACTTCATAATTCTCCCCTCAGACAAATGTCTGTCTTTGAAGAGAAAACATTAAGGTAGTTAAGGCCAGAATACGAGTGATATTATAAAACATATTATTATCAGACCCACAGCCTTGTTTCAGACCATCTCTCGTACAGCTGTTTTGAATAAATGTGACATTCTGCTTCAAATGGAATACTAGTAACACCACACAACTGCAGATAGTGATGATATTCCGCGATGGACATCTGCAGTAGAGACACTGAAGTCTCTAAAGGCAACTTACATTCCAGTCTTGTGTGAGGTAGTCGTAGCTGCAGGAGTCGAGGATGCCCTCAGGGATGTACTTGCCCCAGCCGAAGAAGGGAGGCAGAGCCCAGCCGATGGCCATGGCCCAGCAGAAGAGACACATAACAACAGCTTTAGTCATGGTCATCTTGGGGCCATTGAAGCCATTACAGATGATGTTGTACCTGTCCCAGGAGATCATGCCCAGGGTCCAGATGCTGCACACACCTGTTATGGCGCCTGAAAACAACACTTCCAATAGAATACAATAATAGAATAAAAATTCAACGTACAGCTGGCCAGGTAGGGGACGAAGCTCTCGAAACCGTCGCCAGGTCAGGCATTCACTCCCTCACCGAACACTCGTAAATGATTCTGGTGGGGTAGAGAGGTCATGGTGGCTTCCCGCTGTAAGAGATCTGAATGAATTACAGTCGTATATAAAAACTGTATCATGATAAGTCTTTGTGCGGTATACTTTACAACTTGTACCTTGATTCTTCTCTAAAGACAAGCTGGACACGTAGAGGCTACTTCCCAAAGTACGAAACTTATAATTTATTGTGAGTGAATTATCAAAAAGTCACCGATAATGGCATCAACCAAAGTACGAATATTTTATACACACTTTAAAAAACACGATTTCTTGTGGTGTGTCTGAGAAAGAAGTATTTTGGTCTATACTTTATCTGCTATTTAAAATCATTGTACCGCATCTACTTAGTAAAAAGCTTCTCAAGTGCTCACCCAAGGCAGCATACAGCTCACAGAAGAAGGCGTTGAACATCCACTGGCCGCCGCTGAAGCAGTTGTAGGCGAAGGGAGGGAAGTTAGTGGTCAACATGATGAGGTCAGACAGCGCCAAGTTCACCACCAGTAGGTTGGCTGGAGTCCTCAGGCCCTAATGATGTTACGTTATTAATAAATTACTCCTGAATGCCTGTTTCATATTCACTGGATGATACCTATCAGCTGATAATTATACTGTAGCTGCTTATTCTGCTGGAACCTTTAATACATTCTGTTTTGATTTTAATGAAGGTACACTTCCATCCCTGACACAGTTACAGAAATAAACTAAGATACTTTACTGCGGTCTAGTGAGAAACCTCCAATTTTGGCGCCAAACTGAACAATATTCTCAACGTCAACAATAAATGATGGAAGAGCAACATGGCGAAGAACTGTTACCGTACTTACTGTAGCTTTAATGAAGAGATAGATAACGATGCCATTGCCGGTGATGGAGAAGAATCCGAGGATGATGTAGATGGCACCCAGGAGGTAGTGCCACATGGGGTTGACGGGGGGGAAGCTGTACCAGTGCTCATGTACCATATGTTTGATGGTGTCAGGTACAAAGTCCACGATGGTCAAGCCTTCCGGGTAACCGAAGGATATTCCCTGCCTAAGAACACAAGGTGACGACAAGCATTATCATTCAGGTGTAGAGTGAGTGAAATATCCACGTCTACATCACTGTTGGGAAATGTGTACTATCTGACATCTTACTACAGGTAGAATATGTGATGTAGGGAAGATAAATAAGTCGTCGAAATATTGAAATACTTCTTTGAAATTACCAATATCTTAGAATATCTTGTTTGTATTGGGTATGTTCAGTCCAATACATTTTTTATAACCATGATTATTTTATCACTGACTCATGATAAGTGGCACTGACTCAAGATAAGTGGCACTGACTCATGATAAGTGGCACTAACTCATGATAAGTGGCACTGACTCATGATAAGTGGCACTGACTCATGATAAGTGGCACTGACTCATGATAAGTGGCACTGACTCATGATAAGTGGCACTGAATCATGATAAGTGCCATTGACGCATGATAAGTGGCACTGACTCATGATAAGTGGCACTGACTCATGATAAGTGGCATTGACGCATGATAAGTGGTACTGACTCATGATAAGTGGCACTGACTCATGATAAGTGCCACTGACTAATAGATACTTAACACTAACCCATAAAAGGCAGCCTGTGGTCCTGTGGCGTTAGTCATGGTGATAACAGGTGACAGTGTTAGGTGACGGCAGCAGGTGACAGTGTTAGGTGACAGCAGCAGGTGACAGTGTTAAGTGACAGCAACAGGTGACAGTGTTAGGTGACAGCAACAGGTGACAGTGTTAGGTGACAGCAGCAGGTGACAGTGTTAAGTGACAGCAACAGGTGACAGGTGACAGCAGCAGGTGACAGTGTTAGGTGACAGCAACAGGTGACAGTGTTAGGTGACAGCAACAGGTGACAGTGTTAAGTGACAGCAACAGATGACAGTGTTAGGTGACAGCAACAGGTGACAGTGTTAGGTGACAGCAACAGGTGACAGTGTTAGGTGACAGCAGCAGGTGACAGTGTTAAGTGACAGCAACAGGTGACAGTGTTAGGTGACAGCAACAGGTGACAGTGTTAAGTGACAGCAACAGATGACAGTGTTAGGTGACAGCAACAGGTGACAGTGTTAGGTGACGGCAACAGGTGACAGTGTTAGGTGACAGCAACAGGTGACAGTGTTAAGTGACAGCAACAGGTGACAGTGTTAAGTGACAGCAACAGGCGACAGTGTTAAGTGACAGCAACAGGTGACAGTGTTAGGTGACAGCAACAGGTGACAGTGTTAAGTGACAGCAACAGGTGACAGTGTTAAGTGACAGCAACAGGTGACAGTGTTAGGTGACGGCAACAGGTGACAGTGTTAGGTGACAGCAACAGGTGACAGTGTTAAGTGACAGCAACAGGTGACAGTGTTAAGTGACAGCAACAGATGACAGTGTTAGGTGACAGCAACAGGTGACAGTGTTAGGTGACGGCAACAGGAAGTGTTAGGTGACAGCAACAGGTGACAGTGTTAAGTGACAGCAACAGGTGACAGTGTTAAGTGACTGCAACAGGCGACAGTGTTGACAAGGTTAAGTGACAGACAACAGGTGACAGTGTTAGGTGACAGCAACAGGTGACAGTGTTAAGTGACAGCAACAGGTGACAGTGTTAAGTGACAGCAACAGGTGACAGTGTTAGGTGACGGCAACAGGTGACAGTGTTAGGTGACAGCAACAGGTGACAGTGTTAAGTGACAGCAACAGGTGACAGTGTTAAGTGACAGCAACAGGTGACAGTGTTAGGTGACAGAAAATAGTGGCCCATGCGGTGATTCTAACAGGACCTCTCCCTGGACACACGACGGTGGAGAAGTCAGATGAAGCCGCTGTATTGAAGAAGGCTTGATGTGGCCACCTTATATACACGCTGGGGTGGGCGGTGGGCGGGGGACGGGGGGCGGTGGGCGGGGCGGGCGGGGTGAGGGTGGGTGAAATATGAACATAAGTGGATCACGAAGTCTTATAAATGTCGATTAAATAGACAAAGGGCATAAGGCTTACCTCTCATATGCTCGATTTTTTTAGGATTCTTTGGCACGTTTTCTTTTAGTCACCAGTTGAAAAATTACACACACACACACACACACACACACACACACACACACAGACACACACACACCGCCACCTTCTACTACCTGAGATTCTTCGCCTATAAGTTACTAAATGACATCACAACCACAACATGGTTTTACACAACCTCTTACAGACCGCTACAAGAACAACCACGTTACAGCTAGGGTGGAGACTTTCTGTGAGTCTTCTGTTACTGTACTTCACTAACTTGTTCTTCTTTGGGGCGGGAGGGGTTATGCGTCAAGAGTTTCCCTGTGGATGAGTACAAGAAGAATAAGTCTAATTGTGGCATCACTTTTCCCCCAAGAGCCACAGGTAAGGCAATGGCAGGTTAGGTTAAGGCAGGTTAGGTAAATTACACATTTAATGAACAACTGATGTAACGACTTATACAGGTCACAGGTGGTTAAAATTAATTAAATTCGTCTATAATATTTCGATTTTTCTGTTTTACCTCATGAGCAGTTAAGGGTCAAAGGTCATTAAACCACCTATGGATATGAATATGGTAGTAATTAAACTGCTATAGCAGTAATCTTATGACACTAGGACAGGTGATAAGCCAACCAAAAACTCGCCTGTCAACAACCTGGTATATAAGGCGTAGTAAGGTCTATCCGTTATTCCTTGAAGAAAATACTAAGAAAATATTAATATTATTTTCCTATAAATCTTCTTTCATCTTCTTCATTATCACAGGTAAATGTATCTTATGTTTTCTTGTGTATAAAAGAGAAGTTCCTGCTACCAAGTTTTTTTTAAGCCGCGTTCAACCGGTGTGTCCCAGTCAGTAGCGATGTCCCGTGATGATCCACTCAGCAGTTTAGTCTAAGTGGATTTTCTGGAACGTCGACACTTGCTACTTGACTTAATTCACCCTCACAGCGAAGGGCTTCACCGAGTCAGGTATTATAGCTAGCAACGATTTTTTTTTTCAAGTATCCGTGAGTGATACTAATCCTGAGCCCGTGTGACTGTAATTTACTGTTCTGATTTGCCGAAGAAATCTTTCATTAATAGTGATGAGGACTTTATGGGTTCTATTATTAACGCCAGGTTTATTAGATATTTTTTTTTACCCCCTTCCTTGTCGAATAATATAACACACTAGTGAAAAAACCCGTGCACAACGCTGGCATTTGGCATCACAGTGGTATACGCTTTCCTTATACGAGAATATGTGGAGCTGACACCGGTACTTAGCTTTTTTCACTTGTCATAATGCAATTTCCTTTTCATTGCAATCCTAAAATGGTGATATTTATGGTAACTCGAAAAATATTAATCTAATGTTTTTATTTTATTTGAATGTCGGTCGCATTAATAAATTCTTGGTGAAAGTTAAATAATAAACATTAAATATTGGTCTGCTTATACTGACGAGTGAAACGAAAAAAGTCAATACTTATTTTTTTTAATCTAAACTTGTAAAATCATAAAAACTAACCAATTTAATTTATATTTTCTTTTGATAGACGTTTAATAATTTCTTGGATAGAAAGTCAAATTAAAAAATCAATTATATTAAGTGACAATTTGTCTGAAGTAATGGTATTTAGGTAAAACACAATACTACTCTTATTCTGGTTCACCAGTGAGTTAATAGAAGAAAAAAAATGAATAGTTTCATCCAGGATATAATTACAGAGGGTAAACTGCCACGGGGGTGATTACAGAATAAAAACTCTCTCTCCACCTCACAAACAAAACATGGGTTCCCAGGTATTACATGACGCAGTCCACCAAGTTACTTTTGTTTTTCTCTCACACTTATAAACGACTCCCCTTAGAACAATTTAACACAATTTACTGTAATTTCGTCAGTTTTCCCACACTTTAACGCAATTTTCTCAATAAAAATACAATAACGAATCCCGACACCCATAAGAGGAGACACTTTATCAGTTATGCCGAGAATTTAATACAATGATTTTCGTTATTCTAAACTTAATGAGCGGCGGCAGCACACACCCATGTGACGTAATTGTGACGTCATCAGCAAAAAATACACAATAGACGTGAAGAACCAAAACATATTGTCTGGTACAGTCACCCAAAAAACGTCCTGTCGCGAACCATGATTCAGACTCGTGAACCCGAAACAGTAGACACTGATACATTATTCTGTCCATAAATGCTTCGGATTCAAGAGTCTGAATCTCGGGGTTCATGGTTCGCGACAGGACTTTATTAGGTGACTGTACATAACACTTATTACAAATGCATGAATTAATATGGGGAATTATTTGAATCTGTGAGCTTGTATGGCAATCTATCTATCTATCTATCTATCTATCTATCTATCTATCTTCGTGATATACAACAATGCATTTTCTTTTACCATTATTGTACACACACACAGTGACTGATTGAGTTAAGTCACACTGGAACAAATATCCCTCCTGGGAAATAATCTCCATCACCTCGCCTCTCCCTCGTCTTCTTCCTAGCCTGACTGACCCACCTCTCTCTCCTCTCACTAACCTGACCCACCTCTCTCTCCTCTCCCTAACCTGACCCACCTCTCTCTCCTCTCCCTAACCTGACCCACCTCTCTCTCCTCTCCCTAACCTGACCCACCTCTCTCCTCTCCCTAAACTCCCCTGACCCACCTCTTTCTCCTCTCCCTAACTTGACCCACCTCTCTCCTCTCTCCCTAACCTGACCCACCTCTCTCTCCTCTCCCTAACCTGACCCACCTCTTTCTCCTCTCCTAACTTGACCCACCTCTTTCTCCTCTCCCTAACTTGACCCACCTCTCTCTCCTCTCCCTAACCTGACCCCCTCTCCCTCTAACCTGACCCCACCTCTCTCTCCTCTCCCTAACCTGACCCACCTCTCTCTCCCTCTCCCTAACCTGACCCACCTCCTCTCCCTAACCTGACCCACCTCTCTCTCCTCTCCCTAACCTGACTCTCCCTAACCTGACCCACCTCCTCTCCCCTAACCTGACCCACCTCTCTCCTCTCCCTAACCTGACCCACCTCTCTCCTCTCCCTAACCTGACCCTCTCTCCTCTCCCTAACCTGACCCACCTCCTCTCTCTCCCTAACCTGACCCACCTCTCTCCTCTCCCTACCCACCTCTCTCCTCTCCCTAACTTGACCCCACTCTCCTCTCCCTAAGCCCTAACCTGACCCACTCTCTCCTCTCCCTAACCTGACCCACCTCTCTCTCCTCTCCCTAACCTGACCCACCTCTCTCTCCTCTCCCTAACTGACCCACCTCTCTCTCCTCTCCCTAACTGACCCACCTCTCAATATAATTTCTTTACTACTCCTTTAACTGTTAGTCGTATTTCCGCGCTGCGTCAGACATGTTCACAGTGCTCCTACTTTTATCCAAGTCTTCATGTGATAATTATAACTAGTTGAGGAGCCCGGCGCTGTTCTTGACCACGCTACCTCCACTACACCATTAACTGCACCACATTAACTTCATGGTTAGGTTAGGTTTGGTGGGGATTTTTCCCAGCGAGGCCAAAATTTCGCCAGTCTTTAAAACTGTAGTCGGAATTCATAAACAGACAAACAAAGAAACAAACAAAAACAGATACATTCCTTTTATTATAATAATAATAATAATAATAATAATAATAATAATAATAATAATAATAATAATAATAATAACAGCTGCAAGGAACGTCCTCACGCTTACCCCGCGGCAGTGCCCCAAGAGACGACGCTCTAACACCGCCGGGCCACCCACCCAG